TTTATTCGCAAACGCAACAAAAGAGCACTTCCTTTTGCGTCGTTGAACCTTGAGCTTGAAAATTTGGTAAGGGCAAATCAAAGTCAAAAGAGGGCTATAGCTAGTGGTGCTACATCAAGCGAGTTTGGTGTTCCTCCACCATATCAAGAAGCAAGTGGGATTTCCACTCCCGCTTTAGAAGCAAACGGCTTTGAGATAAGGCCCGCCCTTATCACCTTGATTGAGGGTCATCAATTCTCTGGGCAAAGCATGAGGATCCCATTGCACATCTTAAGCAATTCATATGGTATTGTAGCACCGTGAAGGCAAATGGGGTGACTCCGGAGTACATTCTCTTAAGCATGTTCAAATTCTCTTTAACGGGCAAGGCAAGTGATTAGCTTGATAGGTTGCCTCCAAAATCATTGAACACATGGAACGAGGTGACTTCTGCATTCCTTGGGAGGTTCATTCCTCTTGGGAAAACAGTGGAGTTGAGGTCTAAGATATCAAACTTTCAACAAGACCCCGACGAGTCTCTCTATGATGCTTGGGAAAGATTCAAGAGCTACCAACAACAATGCCCCCACAATGGCATGGAAGATTGGCTCTTGCTCTATGGGTTTTATAGAGGTCTCTTGAGATCGGACTGCATACTCTTGGATGGGGTATCGGGTGGACCTATCATGAACAAGCCACCCACAGAGGCACTAAAGATCATAGCGGATATAGTTCAAAACTAAACCGATTAGAGCCCCAATGAGAGAAGCACTTCCAAGAAAGGGGGAAAGTATGAGGTAAATGCTATCTACCTGATTAATTCAAAATTAGATGATTTGTCTTCTAAATTTGATCAACTACAATCCTCTTCTCTATCCCCTTCCCCACGTGAATATTCACATGCATCTAGTTCATTAAATGATAATATGTCAATATAAATGATGTCATGTGATACTTGTGGAAGTAATGATCATGTAACTTTGAAATGCTATTTGCTAAATGATTCATGCTCCCCTTCCCCTTCCGTGGAACAAGTTAATGCAATCAACAATGGTCAAACCAATCCTAGGTATGACCCTTATTCCAACACCTATAATGAGGGATGGAAACATAGTGGCCAAAGAAATGTTCAAGGTTAATATAGTGGCCAAAGAAATGTTCAAAACAATAATCAAGGAAATTATAGGAACCAAAGTAATGGTAACTATGTGTCAAATAATCAAGTGAGCCATCAAAATGACAATAGATACCACTAAAAAGGTCAATATTCTTCTAACAATAACCCACCCAGTTTTAATGGAGGAAATAAACCTACCCTTGCTCCTATCCCTCAACCTCCTCTCCAGATTCAAGCTCCCCCTCCTAAGTCAAGTCTAGAAATCATAATGGAAAATTTTGTTAATGCTCAAAGAAAGAAGACCAATGACTTAGAGGAGAGTATCAAAAGATGCTAAAAACTCAAATAACTCAACTAGGTAATGCTCTTAAAAGTAGCAATTCTAGCACCTCTTTGCCTAGTCAAGCCATTGATCCAACGGAACATTGTAATGCAATCATAAATAGATGTAGGACTAGCATAGATGAAACTCCACCAATGAGCTTGCAAAATGAAAGTGAGAGTGAGGAGTTCAAAGAAGAAATACAATGTGAGGTATCTAAGTCAAGTGAGGATGAGATGGTTGTCAGAGTGAGTCCACCACAGTGAGCTTAACCGAAAATTTTAGTGAAATTATCAATAACCACTCACCCACTAAACTAAAAGATCCCAAAAGTTTCTTTATTCCTTGCTCTATTTAGAACATTTCTTTTTTAAATGCCCTATGTAATCTAGGAGCTAGTGTGAGTTTGATGCGTTTTTCGGTTTATGAGAAGCTTAGTATAAGTGGTTTAGTACTCACTAATGTTACTCTTCAACTTGCCAATTGATCCACCAAATTCCCTAAAGGTAAGGTTGAGGATGTCCCTTTTAAGGTAGGTAATTTCATCATTCTGGTTGATTTTATTGTGCTAGAAATGACGGAAGATGCTCTTTCCCCTATCATCCTAGGTCGACCTTTCTTAGCAACGGGTGGTGCAATCATTGATGTAAGGGAAAGAAAACTCACATTGAATGTGGGTGATGATAAATTTTGTCTTACTATTGATCCCAAGAGAGGAAGTCCTTCCCCCACAAAATATTGCATGACACTAGATGCTATTAGTGATAATGATTTGCATGATTTGAGAATGCTTTGTGCTACTAATCCTCTTTTCAATATCCATGAGTCAAAGCAAGGTTTGGATAGGTTTGTTAAGGTGATTACCATGCTTTCTTGTCTCAAGACAATGCTTGAAGAAGGTGAGTCTAGTGCTCACAAGGATGAAAAGGGTGACATCAAAGCTTTCAAAAAGAAGAAGAAGAAAAAATCAAAGAGAAAAAGGAAGAAGAAGCATTCAAAAGAAGTTGAAAATGAAAATGGAGTAGGTGTTAGTCATGAAAACAATTTGGTTTTGCCCAAGATGGCAAGTTGTAATGATGAAAACAATGGTTACGAAATGGTTTTGAACTTTATCCCACCTTAAGGGTATTTTTCAAATTTGCGTCAAGCTAGTGACGTTAAATAAGCGCTCCCGGGAGGCAACCCGAGTATTTTTTATTTTACTAAAAAAAACACAAAGTGCAAGTCTTCCAACAACAACCAACAAGAACAAAGGTACTAGGGAGGTTCAAGCTTCAAAGAAGGCTCGATCCTTGAGTTAGTCTTCTTTCTCCCCCTTTTTATGTGCTTTTATTGCTTAACATTGAGGACTATGTTTATGATAGCTTGGGGGGAGTCATTTGCATGCCTTCTTGAAACGTTGGTTTGTTTTGGTTGTTTCATCACTTCTCTAATATCCAAGGCCCTAAATCCAAATTTTCTTCCTTGAAATCCAAATTCTTATAATGTGAAAATTAGTTTCCCCTTTTCTATTTAGTATTGTGAATATTTCAAAAACAATGAAAAACAAAAAAATGCCCAAGGATGAGACTCAAATGACGATATTTATGTGTTTTGCTTGCTTGACTCTTGAGTGATGAGTAAAGTTCTCTTAGAAGGGTGTATGCAAGAGTTGGGGTCATTTAGAGAATTATTAACCTTGATTGCATTAGTGTCTAAGAAATGAAAACCGATGAATGCTTAATTGCACATCTAGCATAGGATATTGTCTAAGTTTGCCCAAAGAAGTATATGTTTGATTTAGATTGCGGTCCCTTGTGCCCTTGATGTGCATCCTCCTCCTCCCCGAAATGAAACTCTATTAGGGAATTGGTTCTACTTGTATCATGTATAATAAGTGGCATAATAACCACATGTTTTGAATAAGGAAAGAGCCGCTCACAATTACAAGAGGCGAGGGCAATGAAATTGAAAAAAAAAAGAGAGAAAAAAAGAAGAGCATAAAAAGAAAAAAAAAAAAGGGGGAGAACAAAAACTCCCCCCTAAATTCTCAAAAAAATTATTTTCTCTTCTTTAGAGGTTAACTTGTGGATATCCTCCACGCCGTTTCTACATTGTTATATCTTGTGAAATTCTCAATTTAAAGTGTAGTTAAAGGGCCTTGGGTGTACATTTTAGGAGGTGGACTAGCATTTTGAGATTTTATAACCGAAAAAGGGCTTGTTATTACTTTGGAATATCTAGATGTGCTCTAATAAACTAGTAAAAGGTCTAAGGAAATAGCCTAGTGTAACCTTGCTTAGTTCTTCTCTTTACCCCCAACTCATGTGTACATTTATATGATTGGTAATTCTCAAAAGTTGCTCACTTATCTTGCTTGTGATTCATATCCCGATGAGTTGACTTGGGCGATAAAAACATTGGAATTTGTGTAACCATTGATGGTTTGTTTTGGTTTTTGTGTTATTTGCGGGTTATGCTCATTGGAAATCCTCACAAGATAAAAACTCGTCCTCCGAGGCGACTTAGGGGTTTAAATTGCTTTTCACTTGTGCTAAAAGTGATTATAGTTGTTACCATACGGATTTGTCTATTTGTGCTTCCTCTTTGTTGCCTCCCTTGGTTTGATTATTAACAAGTTATTTTCCTTTTTTGGTTTGAAATGTTTGTTTTTTTCGAGGACGAGCAAAAGTTTAGCTTGATGGGATTTGATAACTTGTTATTTAGTATGATTTTAGGGTGTTTTTGAACCTTTTTTACTTGATAAATCAGTGTTTTAGTTCACTTTTACTCTATTATTATACAATTTTTGTGTATCATATACTTCACGGGTTGTTAGTGTTTTTGTTGAGATTTTAGGTCCAAAGACGACCAATTGAAGCCTATGGATGATGAACCAAGGTTAGAAGCAAGAAGATGATGGAAAGAATCCAAGGAAAAGGAGCCAAGTCAAGAAGAAAAAGAGATGTGATGTGGAGAGGAACTCTCCATAGAGTGGCGCGGCCTCTCCTAGTCCTTGGAGAGGCCTCTCTAAGCTCCACCAAAAGTTCCTGCCAAATTGTTGCACAGTGAGGAAATAAGGAGCAGCCTCTCCTGATCTTGGCGCGACATCTCCACCTAGAGAGACCTCTCCATGTCATCGGAGAGCCTCTCCACCTTGATGCAAAAGTTCCTGCCTCCCTTGACAGATTCAAGAATTTTCGCAAGGAGAGGCCTCTCCACTAGTAGAAAAATGTATAATGGCACTGGTTCAAAACCCCCATATGGCACCGGTTTTGAACCAGTGAGTATTTGAGGGATGCCAAAAAGTGGGAGTTTTGGCACCGATTCAGAACCGGTGGCAAAAAAAGGGTTTTTGGCACCGGTTCAGTTCAAAACTGGTGCCAAAAATGGCCCTAAAAAATAAATAAAAAAATTGCATTTTTTTCACTTAAATTGATATAAAAACACTAATATATATATATATATATATATATATATATATTTTCATTAAAAAAAAGTTGTAATATTACCATTTTGGCCCAAAAAAATAAAATAAAATACAAGTTACACACAAAAGCTGAAATAAAATACAAGTTAAAATAAACTTTAAAAAAAAAAAAAAAAAAAAAAGGCAGTTCTCAGTCCTTATATAATGCTCTCCATTGTTTTCTGGTCTGAAACAGTACACACCACCACCTCATTATACTTGTCTCCAATCAACCGTTGCCTTGCTCGTAGCATTTCATAGGCTGCCCAAAATAAGATGGTAGCCAATGCCTTTCCAATCCACTCCCTACATCCGAGTGCATGCCTTGCACCTAAAAGCAGTACCATGTTAAAATAATTGAGAACTTGATAAGTTTCTGAGCAGCCAACTTAAAACAGCTAACCTATTAATCTTAGCTGAACAAAGTACAACCTTAGAAGTTTGATAAACACCTTAAGAAGGACTAAAGACAGCCAGTAATACCTTAAAAAGTTTGAATATGTAAGTAATCAGGTTCACAAAGACCTCCAAGAAACATGATCTCTGTCAAGAATATTACAACAATAACAATGACAAAGGTTAGCAAACGAAAATATGGAAACAAGCCAAAAGATACAGCAGCATGGACACAATCTATGAAAATAATTCCCACCAAGTTATTATGATACTAGTACAAAAGAAGTGTATAAATCTACCAGAAGCAGAAAGGAACACCGACATTCAGATAGCTGAAGCTGAGAACTGCACACCAAACTTCATGACAAACCACAATGAAGAATTGACAAGGATAGCATGTCAAAAAATAGATAAAATAAAATTGAAAGGATTTATAAACAAACTCGCAATCCTCTCTTCAACACTAACATCTTAACTCCCAAGTCAAAGTTTTCCTAAAAAATCAGCCTAGTTCCTTCCACAATACTTCACAAATCAAATCCCTCAACCCTACTGTGATACTGTCTGTCGAGTCACTACACTTTTTTGACTTTTTTTTTTTTTGTTAGTCACTACACTTTAATTAGCACGAGTTTCATAAAAAAAAAAAAAGGGCCTCTCCTCAAACTGCTCCCTCTAAAGAGCTTCTTCTCCTGTAATGGATGATAATAAACAAACTGTTGTCCAACTGACACTGAAGAGTTAAAAACGATACTATAATATTTCAGCCTGATTTCAATTCATCACAACACCTTAATTAAAAGACACAAAATTCAGCACAGTGTAAATCTTCCAAGACTCAATATTTACAAGGTATATGACAATGCTATGGACAAATCTATCTTACATTTTACAAATCCAAAGAATCCGAGATATATATTCAGCTAGAAAGCTACTGCAGAGAGGATTAGTTATAGGAAACAAATTCTATAGTTGTCAGCCCAATATAATAATAAGAAAAAAAGTAATCATCACTTAACTCTGATTAAAAACTCTGAATTTAAATAATCCATTGAATCTTTAATCAATAATCACAAATCAAAATCACATTCCAGAAACAACTAGCTACATTGGACAGCAACATAGTTCATTGGGTGTTCACTGGTCATATAGCATACATTAAGGCAATGTTCTCCTCAATTTACTTAGGCTTGCTTAAGCCAAAATAAGTATCTTATCCTCAAATATAACAAATTCCATACGTTCAAAACATACCCTCATAAGTTCGAACATAATAGGTTCCAAACTTCCAATGTCAAAAATAACTTGGAGGGAAGACAACCTAAAGTCTACACTCCCGCCAAACGTTCTGGCCAACGTTGTACTCAACCTCCAGCTGACTACAACACTTACCTTCATCATATAATTTATAATCAAATAAAATTCAACAATCTAAATCATGTTCAGCTCTATCAATTATCAATCAACACAAAAAAAAAAAAAAAAAATAAATAAATAAATAAATAAAATAAAACAAAACAAAACAAAACCCTTCAAGAAAATTGTACTGCAACCTTTTTCATGCATTTTTTACTTATATATTTACAGCAAAAAGGGAAACCCATGAACTTACTCAATAAGACTCCCTCATTCTGACACTGCTCTCACTTGAGCATCAACAAACACCATCATAAAGGGAAACCCTTAACTCGTTAGCATTATCACCACCCTATTCCTTTTCTATTCACTAACCAAAGACCATTTTTTATGGGAATGGTTTTAATTCAAAATATTCCTTTAATTTTCTTTCCTTCCCTTTAACCAATTACCTTTCCAATTCTTAACAAAAGTCTAAAGATTTTTAAAGTAAACGTGCTCTAATTGTTCCTAGAGCAGAGTCTAATATAGTTTCAAACATAACTTTTTTCACTACTCAACAACCAATCAAACTCAACTAAAGCATATTAATCAGCAATCATAATGTAATAGGCAATCTCCGTATTCAATGACATAATATATCAATTGTACAAAATAATGAGCTACCACTTGAGTAGAATAAAATCAGTACTTTATTGTTGCAAATAGTCTGCTGCTACACATTTACGGTCAAACACTTACCATAACATCAGTCTAAGTCAACAGCCCAACAGAAAATAGATAAGTAAGTTACAAAGAAACACTGACTACACAAAGTCCCTAAGTACAAATTGTTGGTTTACCATAACATCAATCTAAGTTAATCATGAAGAAATCACAATTATAATAAAAAATAATAATCGAAAATTTTAGGTTTGACACCAAATTTCTCATAAAAACAACATGAAATTGCAAAAATGAAAGAAAAAACGATAGATTTGAAAGAGAAAGCAAGAAATACCAAAACTCCGAGCTCCCAAGAAGCATTTTCGACCATGAATACCACGAACAACCTGGACTTCGTCACATTGAGGACATTTCTGGCGAGAGGTTCTAGAAAGTGATGACAAATTCAACCGCAAAATTTACAGAAATTCCACAACAATACCCCAAAAAAATCGACCAGCAAAACCCCAGAAATTTGACCCCAAAACCTCGAGAATTCCGACCACAAAACCTACAAATTCGACCACTAATCGAAAACCCTAGATAATCCGAGCCAAAACCCCCAAAATTCGAACAAATCCGAGCCACAGCCCTCTGTTTTCGAGCAAAAAATTAACCCAAAACCCCCACAAAATTCGACCACTAATCGAAAATCCTAGAAAATCCGAGCCAAAACCCCCTTAATTCGAACAAATCCAAGCCACATCCCTTTGTTTTTGAGCAAAAAACCGACCCAAAACCCCCACAAAATTGAACTACAAAAACCGTAGAAAATCGAGCAAAAACACCCTTAATTCGAGCAAATAACATTTGAAAATTCAAAAGATCTAAGCTAGGAGGTTGGATTTTCGTAACCATCGCCGCCGCGTATGGTGAAATGAAAGAGAGAAAAGCAGAGGAGAGAGGAGAAAGAGGAGAGAGAGAGAGAGCGATCAGAAAGAAAAAGAAAGAAAGAAGAGGGGAAAGAAGGAAAAATAAGAGGACCGGTTTTTTTTACAGTAAATTCCCACCGGTTTAAACCGGTGCCATTTCACTAATTTGGCACCGGTTTAGTTTGAACCGGTGCCATTTTCTATTATACAAATTTCCGCCTAATTTTTTCCCACCGGTTTTTAAGAACCGGTGCCAATAACTCGGTGCGCATTTAACCTTTTTGGAGAGCCCTCTCCACCCTGCTACGGAACATTCTATCTCAATTTCTCCCAATTTAGAGTGGCCTCTCTAAGACATGGAGAGGCCGCTCTCGATAGGTCCTGCAAGCTTTTTATTGCGGAGTTTACTATGTAATTGGGGGTTATAAATAGTTTTTGGGGGCTAATTTATATGGGGCTTCTTCTCTCTTAATTCCCTTTAGTTTTCTTAGACCCTTACTTTCTCTAAACCCTCTTTAATTAGTTTAGTTTTCCTCAAAACTCAATCATTTTAAGAATCATTTGAAGTTTGTTCTATCAATTCCAACAACAATTTTTCTCAATCTTGAAACATCAATTAGTAATCTCTTTCTCTCTCCTTTATTATTTATTTTTCTGATTTTATCTTTGATTAATCTTAGTTCTTGCTTAATCTTTGTTAATTGTTCTTGCATGTTCAACCATCCTTGTTTAATCTATCTCCTAATTTAATTGAATTCATGTTAACCCTAGATTTAATTGCTAGATTGTTTTTCACCATGATTTATGAGTAGTTAATAGCTAGGGGTTGGGTGAAGACCCAACCTAGCCATGGGTTGATTGGTGTTTGTGCTTGCATGTTCATTTTGGGTTTATGATTGATTGTTAAAGATTTGTTTAATTGCATGTGTATTTGGATGGCCACTTATTGCTCATATATTAACTTCTATGCTTGCATTGAGAGATGGAGTCTAGTTGTGAGCCTTTTCTTATATGATTATGCTAAATTCCTCTTGATTACGGTTCCTTGTTTGAATGATGTAGTAGTCTTAGTTGCAACAATTAGGTGAGAAATCCCAATTGCTTGTGCCTTAATGCTTTCTTAGACCGATCAAAAGACAAACCCGAGTTAGTAGTCTACTTCACATCGTTAGTTGAGTTTGGTTTAGGAATGCTTAGTGTTATGGCTTCGAAAGAAGGCAATGTTGAGTGCCCTTTCTATCACCAAAGTTGTGTTCATGCTTGCCTATTGTTTTTACCCATCGGTTTGGTAGGTGTCGGGTCCCATTTCCCCCTAGTGTTTGTCTCCATAGTAGCTATTTAATCAAAACCCCCAATTTGTGACCGAATTAGCTTACAACCGTTTCATACTCTTGGTGTTCTTTACCCATTCCATGTGGATACGTTCCTCTACTTACCCTAGACTTGTCTTAGGTTTTTTTAGATAGAAATATTGTTTGGTTTTAGGGTGATTGTCCGACGACCGATTATCCCTCTACCAACTACCTCTAAAATTGAATCTTGTTTTCCATGTGCTAGCAAAAGTGGAGCCAAATTTCCTTGATTCTTGGTCAAAACCAATGCATAAGAGTATGTCAATTTATGTACCTAACATAAAGCACATAAACAATTCCATGAGTCACAAACTATTCTAAAAAGAAAAGAGAATAAAAGCAATAAAGCACGGGTTACTTCCCGAGAAAGGCTTGTTTAAGGTCCAAGTTTGACCGCTCTAGTAAATAATATTGCAACGAACGCAAGAGATTGTCAAATGCACTACTACACGTCTCATAAGATAACAAGTAGGAAAATGAGGGGAAGAGGACATACAACAAGGATAGTGCACGCAAATAAGGAGAGAGATGCAAAGAAAAAGAAGAAAAATCGAAAGAAAATTCAATAAAATAAGAAGAAGAAGAAGGAAAACTCTCCTCAAAATGTTTTTGGGTGGCAAAATCACCCTTTTCCTAAATTATCATCGAGTGGGGAGCTTGAATATCACAAATAGAAGGAGAGTCCCCAATAGGCTCCTTGAAAAAAGGGAGGGACATAGGATAGTAGCGGGATATGGTTAAAGTTCCTTGAAAAATGGATATGAGAAGAATGGATATGAGAAATGGTCTCACAAATGATCTTTTTTTCACCACCTTTGCATTACATCATATCATTAATAAGGGAATGAAAATCATTCATTGAATTCTCAAAAGAAGAACACTCATGATCTACATTTCCCTCAAACAACCAATCTCCAAGATAAACAACCTCATCTTCCCTATCACGATGATAAACAATATTTCCCTTATAAATCTAAAAGTCTAAGATCTCAAAACCATGCAGAATGGATGCAAATTCATCTTAAACTCATCTTTTTCCCATGAAACATTTTCAATGAACTCACTCAAAAAGGCTATGGTTTTTCATTTGAACCTCACAAAATGTATGGTACATAACCTCAAATGAGTCCAAATACTCATGGATAGAAGAATCACAAACATGCACTTGAGATTCATCAAAATAAGAAAGAGGGTTTGCATTCACAAAATCATCATTTAATTCATTCTCAACTCGTTTTCCTTCACAAAAAATCTCACTAATGTCTTCCTCACACTCTTTTTATTGCACAAAAACATCATCATCCTCAACACACACATGGTATTTGAAAGATTTAAGATCATGCAACAAAGATGACAATTGGCTTTCTATCTCTTCCTTTCTCCTTATTACCTCCTCAATACGCTCCTCACTACTTTTCATCATCTCCAATTGACTTTTCATACAATTTAAAAACAACTCCTTACTTAGCCCAAAATTAGAATCATACTCAACACGCCTAATAAGGGATTCTAAATAATCAATAGAAGACTCACAAGATGAAAAAAAATTGAGGGTTAATAAAGGGAGAAGGATCACAACCAAGATTGTAAACATCAACATCAAAAGGATGAGTATAATCATCACCATGGGGAGAGGAGGCACAATCAAGCATACAAGATTCATTATTGGGAGAAAAAGGTACATCACAAGAAGGCATGCTAAATAATGAAGAATATTGAAATACACCATGCTCATCAACATTGGAATGCACCTCATCATCATGAACAATAGGGAAAATAGAGTTAAAATCATGTCTTGTAGGTTCACTAATGGGATCATGTGACAAATCATGGGAATTCATGTTAACATTAGAAGAATCGAGACATTGCACATCAATATTAGAAACATGATTACCCCTATTATAAACATCCCTAGCAAACCAACCATAAAAATCTAAAGCATCATCAATTGATAATGCTCTAAATTCACCATTATACATGCTTTCAACAATATCCCTAGTCTTCTCATTCATACCAAAATAACAAATCTCAAAAGTCTCCTAAAGAATACAACAACTAGGATCAACAAATCCCTCAAGTTTATTGAAATAGTTACAAAAAGGCTCATTATCATATTGAAGAAATGAGAAACATGCCATTTTTTTAACAAAAACAATCAAACAAATAAATAAAATAAATAAAAACAATAGTATACACAAAGACCTAGACTCAAGCAATCAAAAAAATCAACATTGACACCGTTCTCCGGCAACGACGCCATTTTGAACGCGGGGAAATTAGGTCATTGACTACCCTCCTCACGGCCAAACAAAATTTATTATAATACTAAACTAACCCCCTAAACAAATCTAGTGGTAAGTTGGGAGTTAAACCACAGGGAACGGTAATGTTAGATTGTTCTCGATCTAATGCTTAAGCACGCTGAAGTTGGTTTATGGATAAAGGACACTACAACTAAACTGACACACATATGAAGAACAAGATATTATAAAGTCTGCTAGGGGCAAAGATCCACTTCAAACAATTAACAAGTTAATGAGAATCCATTTAATAATCAATCATGCAAAGAAAGAATTAAAATGGGAATTAATTGCACTCAAGAGCAATCTCTAAAATTCCTAACCTAAATCTCTCATTGACTAGGTGCACAAAAGAAATTTACCCAAAATACAATCAAATATATCAATTCTAATTCAGAATCCCTTGTCAAACTAGAACTAATATGCAATTAATAAGTTTGATATCATGGGAGATGAATTCAATCTAAAACAAACAACATGTCATCATCAATTTAATCAATTTAATCACACAATTATCATCAAATTTATCTCAAATAAACTCAATTAACCATTACAAAGCTTCACTCAACACCTGGTAGAAAGAAATCTACTCAAACATGATTAACAAAGCAATTAAATAAAGCATAAAGAGAAAAGAGAATAAGAATGTTCATTGATATAAGATGGAGATCTTCAAATTATCAAATTCCTCCTTTGACTATCTAAAATCCATGAAAACCATTGTGCTTCTCACTTTCTCTCTCTAAATATTGAGTGTTTCTCTCTTTAAAAACCCAAACCTAATTAAAAACTACTTAAAACATGAATTCCTACCTCTAAAATGAGCAAAAAAAATCTATTCATACTCCTTACTAAATTGCCCAGGAACAACACGTATAGGAGCGGGCGCTCCAAAGTTTGTGCACGGGCGCTCCTAGCTGCAGCTAAAAGAGGCAGAATCGTTCTAGAAATTTTAGAGCAGGCGCTCCTCTTAGACTGCGTGCTCGCTCCTACGCGCTAGACAAAACTGCTCATCTTCAAATGAACATAACTCCTTCGTTTTAGATCGGAATTGAGCATATGACCTTTCGGGCGAGATAAGCTTTCATCTCCAATTGGAATCAGTCCAAAATGTTTTGTAGATAAAAAGATATAGGTGTTTGAAGTTTGATCTTTGCAAATCGAGTGCACATTTCTTCATTACTTGTTCTTTTATGTTTTATATTTCTTCAATCTTGAACAATGAACTTATCCAAGTGTTCATAAACATAAGAACAAACAATAAAGTTTAATCTAATGCAATAAGCAACCAAAATATGCAAAAAAGCCAAAATTGAACAATAACGACATTTCACACGCAAACATGACAAATGTAATAAAACGTTATTAAAAGCAAGTAAAAATATATCAAAACTATGAAATACTAACTAGAAAATCCTAAAAAATAGTGACATAAATAACACTTATCAGTATAATAGTTCTTCTACTTACTTACAAAAACTAGCATGTATCATTCTTTGAAAAAAAATCCCAAATAAAATGGTGTATACATTGAAAATTCTAATAGTCTTATGATTTTTTACTACCACAATTTTTTAAAATGGACGTCTTAGTTTATATATATATATATATATATATATATATATATATATATATATATATAT